TCTTCTCTTTATTTCCATAGCAAACTTGGCCTTGATCATCTATTAATTGCAATATTTTCCTTGATTCTTCTTTCTCATTTTATATGCTAACTATCTACCTGGTTTATTTGCATCTTCAAAATAATTCTGTTTCGCGCCTCTGATTTTCTGTGCTAATTCTTCTTTTTCCATTAATCCCATTTTATGTTTAATTATATCCATTGTTAACTTAATGTCCTTTTTCTGTGGTATTTTCTGTAACTCTTTTTCAAGTTCTTTATACTCATCCTCTAATGCCTTAGAGGCTAGTCTTTTCAAGGTATTTCTTTTCCTTGTATAGTCTATTATCAAGCCTCTGGCATATGCCTTCATTGTATCCCTTACATTCTGCGTTGATGTGTCTTCCTTTTTATTTTCTTTAAAGAAAAAAGCCAGTTCTTTCTCAATCCTCTGTATGATGTCTTTTTCTTTTAGTATAGTATTATTTAACGCCCATTTAGATCTTTTTCTTTGTCCTTTCCATTTAATTGGCATTGGATTATGATCTGCCCAAATATTTATTTCAATATTTATTTCTTGCATATTGGCTAACAATTCTGTTGACATGCAAATATCTATTCTGGACCATGATAAATGTCTGTTTGAATAGAAGCTGTATTGTTTAGTCTTGGCATTTCTTTCTCTCCATGCATCTTTTAAATTTATTTCATTTGTCATTTTAAAAAAGGATTTAGGGAGTCTTTCTGTTTTGTTGTTTTCTGTGTTGTATAGTCCAATTTATTGTCTACAATTCCATTAAAGTCTCCCATCATAACGATATTAGCATAGTCCACTTCAATTATTTTCATATGTAGTTTTCTATAAAATTCTTCTTGATTGTCATCCAGGGCATAGATTGTGATCAGGAATGTTTTCATATTATTGTCCATTATTTCCACCATTAATAATTTTCCATCATCATCCGTGTAGATCAGTTTCGCTGGGATAGTATCTTTAATGTATAAAACCACTCCTCTTTTCTTGCATTGTGTCAAAGAAGTAAATATTTTCCCTAACTTTGGCTGTATCAACAGTTGTTCATGTTGCTTTTTAATATGTACTTCTTGTAGGCAGATTGTATCAAATTTTAATTTCTCTAATTTATGGAAAGTTTTCCTTCTTTTAACAACTGAATTAAGTCCTTTTATGTTAATTGTAATCAGTTTTTTCTCTTCCATGGTTATACTTTATAAGTAGGTTTGGCAGCTCTTGTAGATCTTGGTTCACGTTGTTCCTTAACTTCCACCTTTCCGCCTATTGCACCTTCTTCTTTTTCAGTCACTATTTGGCAATCCTCTTGGAATTCAATTAGTGACATTTCTTTTTCTGTCTCCTTCTCTCTCCCTCCAAAGTATTCAGTATAAAATAATTCAGCTTTCTCAACTGAGTCAATTCTGTGTCTCTGTTCTTGCCATGTGAACATTAAACCTTCTGGAATCAGCCATCTATAACTCACCTCTTTTTAAAGTAGAATTTTAGTCAGGAATCAGTATTCTCATCTCTCTCACTCTTCTGGGTACTTCTTTTAGGACCACAATCTCCTTATCTTTATATTTCAATGTTTTCTCTCTTGCCACCTGCAATATTTGTGTTTTAATGGCTTTCTTTGTAAATCTGATGTGAACTTTTCTTGGTAAGCTATTTCTCATTGCATATCTTGGGAAGACTTGAAAAACCTCGTCTATTCCATCCATCATCTTCTCTTTGGTTATTTTCAGAGCTTCAGCCAAGATTTCTATCATTATCTCAGCTAAGTTTTGTCCCTTTTCTTCCTCTATGTTTTGAAATCTGAGATAAAATTCTGATCTATCCATCTCCCATCTCAGCATCCCACTTTTATCTTGTTCAACCACTGTTAATCTGCAATCAATATCTCCAATCTTATCTCTTTATCTTCTTCAATTTTTTTGAATTTCTCATCATAGTTCATCATCATTTGTTGAATATTCTCCACCTTTTCATCAGTTTTTTTCTATTCTCTTTTCAATATTCTCTGTTCTTGCTTGTATGCTTTGAATTCCTTGCATTATCATCTGCAATGACACCTTTTCCTGCTCTTTTTCTTGTTGTAACATCATCTGTATTGAGCGTTGTCTTCCAGATGGTGAAGAGGAAGAAGTAGGAATTGAAGAACCAGCTGCTGTTAGTTTCCTGCTCATTTCAGACAATTCAAAATCTTCAGGTTTTTCTAGACCTTAATCCACTCGTGAAATAACCAATTGTAAATCCAAGTAAAAATGGTGAAAAAAAAGAAGCAAGATAGAAAAAAAAAAGATTTCTTCAGGTTCTTGTATACCTTAATCCAATCAATTAGTTAAATAGCAGTAAAAACTCAAAAAAGGAAGAAAAAAAACATAAACAGAAAAAGAAAAAAATTGTTAAATCTTGTAGAAGGTAGAAAAATAAAAACTAAAAAACTAAAAAAAAGGAATTTCTTCAGGTTCTTCAACACCTTAATCCAATTAAGTCTCAGGTATGAAAAAGTATACAAAAAAAAGGAAGCCACAAAAAAACCCCAATATGGAAGGTAAATAAAAAATGCAGGAGAGGGAGAGAGAAAAAAGAAAAAAGACTACTCCCTTAAAAAAAGAAGAAGGAAAACATTAATACTAAGACTTTTCCTTTAAAATAAAATGCAAAAGTAAAAATTAGGCTCCAAAAGCAAAAAGAAAGACAAAAGCAGGTTCCAAAAGTCCAAAGATCCAAATAACTATTACAAATAATAAGCTGATAAGGAGTGTGTGTGAGGAATAGCCCAACTTAAAAAAGAGAAAAAGAACACACTGCACCTATTTAAGTTATCCAAGGTTAATTTGTATAGCTCTCTTCTCTAGAGTCTTACCTTTTTTCTGTATTCTTCAACACCAGACTCCAGCTACTGATAGAAACCCAGAAGAGCACCTGCAATAACTCTCCCATGCTCTTCTCTCTATCTTATCAGACAGGCTCAAAGTCCTTGAAAAGTCTGAATTCTTTCTCAGCTTTGTCTGGTCGAGAGAGAAAAAAAGAGAAACAATATTTCTAAGCTTCTAGTTGGCAGTGTTACAAAGTTTCCTCTGTTTTCACTTTCCCCCTCCTTTTCCAAACAAATTATTATAAAAATTAATTAAAAAGGAAAAAGGGTTTAGAAAAAAGAAGGCTAAAAGGGAATCTCTAGCCAAAAATATTGTAAAGACAAAAAGAAGAGACAAAAAAGAAAAATAAGGTAGAAAAAAAGACCAGTCCAGTTCAAAGTAAAAAATCATATATGAAGAGTCCAGCAAAAAAAATAATAATAATTTGACTTCCCGTTTAAAATCACCACTTAATTACTGCTATCTGAGATTTTACAGATTCTTTCTTTCCTTAGGGTGTCCTTTTAAATCTTAAAGTAAAGAAAAAATTCTCACCAAACTGGCACACTTTTTCTTTCTATCCTCTTCCGTTTCGGAGGTGTCCCAACTTCAGTAGCTTTAATGGCTGCCTCTTTGCTGCTGGCAAAAAGAGCTTCTCCTGGATCTACCAGGGACTTTGTGGTGTCCCTGGGATCGACAGGATGCACTCTTTACATTCACTGTCTCTTTGGGACGGTTTAGATCGGTTTGGACTGTCCAGGAGCAAAGATATTGGCAGCGATCTCAGACCTCCAAGATCGCATGCCGTATCGTCGCGACGCCAGTTCCGCCCTCAGTACTGCACTTACTTCTGCTGACTGCTGCCTACCAGCAGTTTGGCAGTTCGAATCTCATCGGCTCAAGGTTGACTCAGCTTTCCGTCCTTCCAAGGTTGGTGAAATGTGGACCCAGATTGTTGGGGGTAATATGCTGACTCTGTTAATCCCTTAGAAAGGGCTGTAAAGCACTATGAAGCGGTATATAAATCTAAGTGCTATTGCTATTGCTACATTCTTATGTACGGCTGAGTTACATTCTTTCCTAGGCTCAGTTGTAGTTATAAATCTTTGTGGTTGGTTTGTGATCTATGTGCAGTAACCCCAGCAGCCAATGCTCCCCAAGTGAGATACACGTTGCAAAAGAATGGTAAATATAACAATAGCCAGCAAAGGTGAAAGACTGGCATATAAACTCTGCAATTTTATGTATATTCGGGATCTGTTCATCTTACAAATGAGTTGCTTATGCAAAAATTTGCAAATTAACTGGAACTCTTTGATCCAAAATGAAGTAGAAAAGAAAGTTCTATAGGCAGGATGCAGATTAGAAAGACAGTTTGGATATGTCTTGAGCTCTCAAGAATAATTTTGTCTCCCCCAACATCCCTTAACTCAACATGAATGGTAATCCCAAAACCTGTCCATCTGTAATTTGATAGTTTTTAAATTAAATACACCAAGCAACAATGCCTTCATGTATTTATGAAACTTGCAGTCATATTAAAAACAATTGGAAGATTAGTTAATTTTCTCCCAAATCAGTAAAGATTCTTCTTTTTCACAATTTTCTATTACATGAAATTGAATAGGCTTAATCCACACAGAAATGGCAACTGTAAATGCAAATATGTAATTCTTTCAAAAAGTAAATATGGGATGTTCTTAAAAAACCCCATGAAATACATAGGAGGCCTGATTCTGAACCAGCACATTTATTTCCCTGAAAATGAGCAAGCTTCCAGTAGAAGAGAATATTCTGAGCAAGTTTCATCTCCTTCCTCATTAGGATCAACTATGCAAGTTATAATTCATTGCAAGATAAACTAATTTAGACAAAGCAAGACTCCCTTAGTCTTTTATTTTTTCATTCTTTCATTTTCTGCTGAGATTAGAAGACTGGGAAGGGAAATTGGTCTTCCTGGTACCCTCTATGAATTGTATGGGTAGATGAGGCACACATTTATTCACATATTTCCACTTATATATGTCCATAAACTACTCATAATAACTTTAGATTTTTGGTGTGGGTGCAAAGCAATGAAAAGAAAGGTGGTTTTCTAAGGAGGAATTGTTTATGAAAATAACTGGCTATATTGTCTAATTCCTACAGTGGAAAAAAAGAAGGAAACAATAACAGAATCAGCTGGTCGACAGCAGAAAAAGAAAATAGGTAATGCCAAGTGCTGAAGTTTGTGTGTGCTGCGGAATGGAGGGGAGGGGAGAGGATGGGATAGATGAGAAGAGAAGAGAATTTTTTATTGACCAAGTGTGACAAGGAATTTGTCACCAGTACATAAGCTCACAGTATACATATAAATAGCAAGTAATACCATAGGTATTCATAATCATAGTTTATATTCATAATCATAGTTTTTAATCATAAGTTATAAACAACAATTGATAAATCATAAGAAACCAAAAGGAGAAGATAGAAGGAAAGATGAGAAGATTTAAAAAAAGACAGTGCTGTGAGAATTAAGTGCTCAGCAGAGCGATAGCATGGGGGGACGACTATTTGGTGGTTTTGGCATGCAGTGCTCTATAGTGGCATCCTGAGGGGAGAAGTTGAAACAGTTTATGACCAGGATATGAGGGGTCTGTAGATATTTCCTCAGCCCTACTTCTGGTTCATGCAGTATACAGATCCTCAGTGGAAGGCATGCTGGTTGTGATTGTTTGGCTGATTACAGTTTGCCAAACTACCAATTGGCAGGATATCAAGAGTGGGCAGTAAGTGGTATCTGTATCTAAATAGGACAGTAGCAGAGGCTACCAGGAAATGCATGCAGCCCATGAGCTGCATAGCCATGTTTTTGGTTTATGTTTTTCCCTATTTTAAAACTGAATAAGCAATGACATTGTTCTTGATTCTGGAATGTAATCATGGAGTTCAATGTATACATGAAAAATAGTAGTGACCTTCCATTTCCAGTTGGAAGTTTTCTTAGAACACTGTGTTTATCAGTGCCTACAAAGTTTTGAAGAAAAGGGGACTCCATTGTATTATGTACACTTTTAGGACATGGGTAGTTGATCTGAATCTTCAGACTTCCCAATATGCCTCTTTGTGTTATCATAATGTGCTTTAGATGATACTTGGCTCATTGGAAGTTAATTTCTGATTTTGTACACTGATCTAACATTTTAATGCTTTCAGAGAGGCAAGAAGAAAAACTGAAGAACAACAATAGAGATCTGTCAATGGTAAGTGTTAGAAAAGAGGCTGGTCCTGTTCAATAGAATTATGAATGTGGTCGTAAGTCAAGGACTACCTGTACAAGAATTGGCTTCAGACTTCTTCCCTCTTGTATAGGTAATCCCAGATTACTTCAAAGTTCTGGGTAATCTGGGATTACTTATACAAGAGGGAAGAATTGCTTAATTCTTAAAGTTTAATTAGTTTGATTGCTGGGTTATATTATAGGTCATGTAATCATTCAGCAAAGTCTGATTCTTTTCAACATTTGGTCAAGTTATTTGTAATCATTCTCAGACCATAGGGAGTACCAGAAACTTAATGGCAAGAGTTTTGTCTCTTCACAACTTCTGTAGGAATACCTCATACCTTGATAGAATATTGAGCATGCATACTTGAGCATGCAGGTTTTTTTTCAATGTACTTTTTAAACAACCTATAACTATAACTTTACAAAATTGAAATCAACATTCTAAAAAACCAATGTTCTTAATACATTTTTCTCTTAATTTTAATCCAACACATAATAAATTGTCAAATGTAAATAACTTATATTTATAATGCTACAATAATTTCTTTTCTTTAATTCAATCTAATCTTCAAATCCTAAAGTCAAAAGTTGATTTTCAAATTGAGCAGTTTTTGAATAAAAATAATAGTTGCATTTATCACAAGAAATGAGAAGTAACCAGATTAAGATATTTCTTTGTATTTCAATCTTATTTGCATGGTCTTAAAACATTGAACACGATTTAGTAATGATGAATAATAATTCACATACATGCACAACCTGCAATGAAGATATAAAGACTGGATATGTTTTTTTGGAATGGAAGATAACTAATCCATGAATGATTGAGGGAATTTGTCAGAATCCACTGCAGAAATTGGGCATTGTTTTAGAATTACAATGAGAAAGGGCCAATGAGATCATGGAATACCCATATCTGTTGAGCATAGGAAGACAAGGTTCTGAATTAAAGCAACCCAAGAAACCTGTGTTGTCTATGCTAATCTGGTGAAGAGAATCTGTGCCTCCTTTGGTACCATATTTTTCAGAGTATAAGACACACTCCCCCCCCCCCCCAAAGTGAGCGGAAATGTCTGTGCATCTTATATAGCGAAATAAAAAGCCCTGCCCACTTGCCGGCCCGCACCCTTCGGCCTCTGCCTCCCAGCAATTTGCCTCTTTGCAGCAAATAGCAAACAGCTTGGTCAGCTTCAGCATAGCCTGATTTAGCACGAACAGCTGATTGGTGGTTGGATCAGCCTCCTGGAATACTGACAATCAGCTGTTTCAGGCTGCGGGGATTGCCGCTGCCCATTGCCTCTGCTACCTATCGCTGCCTCCATGTGCCCCATTTTTGGCCTCTGCATGTCCCATTTTCGGCCTGTTCCAGGCAGCGGGGATAGGCAGCAGCAGTGATCCCCGCTGTCTGGAACAGGTCAAAAACGGAACACATTAAGGCTGAAAATGGGTGTGCAGAAGCCGAAAATGGGATGTGCAGAGACTGAAAATGGGGTGCACAGAGGTGGTGATAGGTAAAAACATTCCTAATGAGATTTAACTATTCTAAGTTTTCTCCCTTTTAATCTATTCCTTTAAAAAACTGGGAGCCAGTAAACATTTGAAGTTCACAAATTCCTTTGATATTGCCAGTTCCCAGGCCAGGACTGGAAACAACTCTGTGCTCAGTTCAGAAATTTTAAACTATCCTGGATAGATAATTATTATAGTACTAGCTGGATACCCATGCTTTGCCACAACACTATGTGATTGGGCTATGCAGGAGAAATCCAGTTCACAATCCATTGGCTCAATGGTTAGTGATTGAAACACATAAGGGAGTATCGTTTCCACCACTTTAAATCCAGAAGCAGTTCCATAGGTGAAAGGTGTAGACATTTTGGTAAGGTACAGACGTTTAGTACTGTAAGGAGCCCCAGACTGCTCCTGAGTGAAGGAGTGGAACGTTTGCCAGTTTGAACTGAGGTAACAGAATGTGAGTCAACTGGCAGTGATCGGGCTATGAAGGAGAAATCTGGTTCACAATCAGTTCAGTGGTGGTTGATTATAGAAACATATAAGGGAATATCGCTCCTGCCACCTTGAGTCTGGAAGCAATTTCATAGGTGAGGCAACTGGCAGTTGGAATAGAGTTCTTTTCAGGTGGGGAGGGGGAATACTGTATTAAGAAATAGTGATGATCTGAGGGTCATTTTGAAAAATTCTTTCTTAGTGAGCGCCTAGAAGCCAAGGATCATACGTGCCAAATTTCAAGTTTGTAGGCTTTACAGTTCTGGAGATTTCATGATGAGTGAGTGGTACTTGGCTGTTATATATATAGATTAGTTGAAAAAGAACCAACCTTCAACACCATACTATCTAGACAGTGTAATCCTTTAAAGTATTCGTGTTTAAATAGAAGAGAAACTTCAATTAGACAAAATAGAGCAGCAAGAATATTGTCTGGGATTGAATGATATGATCATATGATGGCAGATTGTTTCATGAAATGATTTAATGCAATGGAATTGACTTTTAAAGCAATAAATGACTTGAAACTAAACTACCTGAATGAGCATGAAATACACATAGATACATGGTTGTTATGGTATATTCTTTGGTGTCAGGTAATTTTAACATTAACCGTGGCATTTCTGTTTTTTTAAAAAGATTTGTATGGGTGCCAATCTTAAAACAACTCTGGGAGGCTCACAACAATAAACTATAAAAACCATAACCCCCCATTAAAGACCAGCCCCTCAATCAACTTCCCAGAGTACCCTAACATTTATCTGCAGACTCTTATCACTTTTATCCCACTGTCTAGTGAAAAGCCAGGTTTTAATGACCCTCCAGAAGGCTAAGAGGATGGGGCCTGCCGGATAAATCCCTTTCTTCCTTCAGCCTCTCTTTCACACTTTGGATTCTTATTTATCAAAATAGTAATGTTTTCACTTTTATTTGCAGGTTCGCATGAAGTCCATGTTTGCCATTGGGTTTTGTTTTACTGCTCTGATGGGAATGTTTAATTCCATGTAGGTATTATTGATACCGTTTTTATTTTAAAAGAAAGATTCTTGGTGCTTTCTGAGCTTGGTTACTTTCTTGTAGACATTTCATTAGGTAATATCATCAGTGCTTAATCAGGTTGGATAATGAAAGCCAAATCTACCTTTCCAATAAGCAACTGAGTTGGAAGATAATTTAAAAGCAGTTTATTAGGGTACCCTGATAAAGTAGGTCTCTATAAAAAAAGAAGAGAGAATCTTGGGCCCCATGTTTCCCTTTTATATTTAACATAACACAACAAAGAAAATGCAAGAGGAAAGTTGATTGGACAGAATAAAAGTAATCTCCCCTTTGCACAGGAAATCAGTTACATGTAGTCAATGTGACATTTGTATCGCATAATATCACATATGTTCATTAAAATGAGGTCTGATATCAGAAGGGGCATAATTGTAAGGAAAAAGGTTGTTTAGAGTTCACGAAAGAGGTAAGCCAGACCCCAAGTTATTCTAACAAACTTTTTATCTGGAGGTAGTCTCCAGCTTGTTTATCAATTTAGAAATGTTAAAAGCTAATAAATTTGAATATCATTTTAAAAGAGAGAAAATAAATCAAATTAAAATACAAGGCAACTATGTTAGTTAACAAATAACAAAACCCACGTTATTTGCCCTTCAAAAATTGATTAATTTTTTTAAAATCATTTTTTAAAATTTAATCTGATTTATTTTTTATTTTTATCAAATTTATTTTAATAAAATGCTTTTGGAGTAAAAATCTATCTTAAGGCAATTTTCTATTTAAGATAAATTAATAATGTAGTTTATTCATAAAATAGAGCTTAGTTATGTAGCATGAGGCTGTATATTTTGCGATATTTACATTTTTGGTAAATTAAAATTAATTTAATTCAGTGAATTCAAACTGCAAGCTGAGATAACATGCACTGCATTGATGCATTCACACAATTTCACAGTAACCATGTGATAAATCATAAAGTTCAGGAATATTCCTTTATTACATTGTTTTGCAAATCTATGTACAATACAAACTCTATGATTGTTTGAAGAGAAATGCATCTCTACCAGGCTCTAAATGTGAGGAAGAAGGGCAAGTAGTAAAAATGAAAGTGAAACCTTTTAAGCAGCTTATAAACCTTGTGATATTTCTGACATAGCTTGAAGTGTTTTATTTCTCCCTTGAGGAGCAAATTGGCATCAGGCCGTAAAAGAGACCCAATTTGGAAATATTTTAATGAAGCTCCTCTAGCTATGGGTAAAACAAGTATGCATGCAAAATGCAAACAATGCAACAAAGAAATGCAAAGCCTGGTGGCCCGAAGGAAACAACATCAAAAGTGCTATGAGGAAAGGACCATGTTTGAAGAGGCAGGAGCTTCAGGTGGGTAAACTCTTTTTATTTCACCATAGTTTTTAGACTGCCACGAAGTATTGTTATGCTAAAGCAATAATATATCTGCTATTATTACTGGATGGCACTGTATTTTTATACAGTTGCCGAAAAAAGAAATAATGAGTTGAAATATGCAAATATTCCTTTTAGGCTGTACTATGTGTAAATACAATGAGTAATTCACAATAAGCATACATGGTTTAAATAATAACAGCATTGATTTTTTTATTTAGGTGAAACCACCATCAACATAAAAGATTCTGGAAACTATCCATTTTCTAAATCGCCATCCTCTTATTCTACAGTTTCAGAGTTATCTCTCCAGGATAGTGCATCAGTCACACATCATTTACACATATCTGCAATATATCACCTAAAAGAAAAAAAAACACCTGGAACCATAGATAACTTTGTGATAAAAACCAGCATATTAAAAAAAGAATTAATTGATGAAAAAATTGCTCGGTTTGTTTATGCAACAAACTCTTCTTTCCGTCTGCTAGAAAATCCACACTTTGCTAATATGATTCAGTCACTGAGACTGGATACAATCCACCAAGATGTTGCAGGGAAACTGCTGGATAAAGTATATGATGAAGAAATTATGCAATGTGCAACAAGTCAAGAAGGTAAAGTTGTTAACCTAAGTCTTGATGGGTGGAGTAATGTCCACAATGATCCTGTTGTATGTGCTTGTATAACAACAGAAGAAGGCAATGTATTCCTTGCAGAAACAATTGATGCTTCAGGAAATGCACACCCAGCAGCATACTTAGAAGTAGCAGCAAAAGTTAACGTGCAAAAAAAATTCAAATGTTAAGTATGCAGTTTGGTCAGAGACAACACTGCAAATATGTCCAAAATGAGAAGTAATTTAGAACAACATGAAACTACCAAGCTAATAACATATGGTTGTAGCGCTCATTTGATGCACCTCTTAGCCAAAGATTTCTGTGTCCCAGAAATAAAGAGTAATGTTGAAATTGCTAAATACTTCCATAGCAATCATTTTGCAGCATCAGCTCTGAAAATAATGGATGGAACCAAGCTAATGCTCCCACAAGATGTTAGATGGAATTCTGTAGTGGACTGTTTTGAACAATATATAAAAAACACCTATTCTGATCACCGTTTGTGAGCAAAATCGAGAAAAAAATAGATGGCAGTATCACAGCCAAAATCCTCAACATTGGGATTAAGAGAAATGAATTGAGCTTCCTTTTTTTCCCTTCAATCTGAACAGCATGTTATCTGGACACAATTAGATTTAAGTAAAAATACAATATTAATCAACATAAATCATAAGCATAATAAATATCAGCAATAATTGCAAAACTAATACAATTAGTTTATCCATCTTAGAAAATTTTCAATAGAGTTGTTTATTATCTTTTAGATCTTATTAAATTCTAATCTCTGATTCTATTAGTTAACCATTGATAAAACAAGTCACATGTCAAGAAATATTCTGTTTCTTCCTTTTATTTTAAGTGTTAATTTATTCATCTCAGCACATTCTAATATTTTTTATTACATTTTCATCTCTAGGGATCTCCATTTTTTCCAATGTTGTGCAAACACAATTATTGCCGCCGTTAATACATCTAAAATATGTTTTCCCTTCGTTATACTGTTCTAGTAATATATCTAACAAGAATATCGTTGGTTTCAAATCTATGTTTTATCATTTTTTCTAACTAAGTATGTACCTTAGTCCGATATTTTTTTGCCCTTGAGCATGTCCACCACATATGGTAGTATGAATCTGATTACACTTTGAGCATTTAGCTGATAAATTTTCATACATCTTTGCTAATCTCACTAGTGGTAGATGCCACTTATAAAACATTTTATATAAGTTCTCTCTATAGGCCGTTGACATTGTTAACTTACAATTTCTATCCCACAGTTTCTGCCATTTCTTCAATTCTATTGGGTAGCCAAAATGTTTAGCCCATCTTATTGTTTCTTTCACTTGTTCTTCCAATTTAATACTCAATAAATAATTGTACATTTTTTATTAGTTTTTCATTTGTCCCTAGTAGTATTTGATCTAGTTCTTTATAAAAGCCCTACATTCTTGTGTCTTTCTCGTATCTTGATTGTATTTGCACATATGGCCATTATGCTAAAATAAATTCCTTGATTGGTCGGTTCTTGTTTAGATTTGAGTTCCCCATGTCATTTAAAATAACCTTATATCTTACATTTTTTCCCGCATCAATCACATTAGTATGCATCAGTGCCTCCACTGTGGACAGCCAGACTGGTATTTTCATATAATGTCTTTAACTTTTCCCCATACTAACAATAATGCATTTCTAACAAAATGTGTTTGAAAGTATCCATGCATTTTACTTTTGCCATACCATAAAAAAGCAATTGGAGAGCATGCCCCTCCAAATTTAATAACCTTTTATGTCTCAAATTTACTCATTCTTTCACCCAAACAAGTGCAGAGACTGGTAGTACAGCTCTCAATCTGGCAACCCAAAGCCCCCTTTATGTTTAGTATCTTGTAGGAGTTTCAATTTTATTCTTTTTTCCCTTGCCAAATATATTTTAATATCATTTTGTTTAGTTCTTCAAATACTTTTTTCCTAGTTTTATTGGAATTGTTTGAAATAATAATAGTCTCGGCAAGATATTTATTTTTATTGTAGCTATTCTTCCTATCATCGATAGCTGCAGATTTTTCCATTTCTCCAAGTCTAATTTAATCTGTTGTAACCATTTTATATAATTATCTTCTTTGATAGTTGCACATCTTCCTGAAACCCGTTTGAAGCTTTAAACAAAATCTAGAAAAATAGTTTTATTGCTGATGCTGTTGAAATTTGGAAGGAACTAAGTGAGCATTTAGAAACAGAACTACACGCTGACAAGCAGAAATTACAAGATTCTAAAAAGTGAATGGGACAAGCACTGTCTCCAGATACTTTTCTTGCAAACATTGTCAATATCTGGTACCAGGGTCAAACCTTAAGTGCTGAAGAAGCCATGACACGAGTATCCAGCAATCATCTCTAGTACCAACTATAATGAACTTCAGAGCTAAGGGGGAACCATTTTAGAAATACAAGTTTGCTAATGAGGCTTTAAAGAAAGTTTCACCAGTGAACTGGTGGAAGTCATTTAAGCACTTGGATTCAGAAAGTAATGATTTCACTTTTAACTGCAGCGGCCTCTTTTGCTGGCATTGAAAGAATATTCTCTTCCTTTGGACTTATTTACTCTAAATTGAGAACTCATCTGGGGCCTGATAAAGCAGGAAATATGGTTTTTCTTTTCCAGATCATGAACAAACAACAGAACGGAGATGAAAATGAGTGAGCTGCAGAAGACCGTGTTTGAAGTTTTTTTTAATGTGGACCCAGCTGATATATTCAGTTTTAAGTTCTTTTGTTCGTTTGTTTTTCAAAAATATTTTGTTTATGCACCTCAGTTACTAAACATTGATGTTTAAGCAAATACAAGAATATGTAATATGTTATTGTTTTAATTAAATAAAAGAATTTGAATAGGTCTCCAACTATGTGTGATTAACCTGTTAACCTAAAATTGTTCTTGATATTACTGTTTTACTAACCTGACAGCTTATTTATTCTAAATAGGAAATCTTCATTTTGTTTGCAAATAATAAGATTAAAGATTCTAACTACAGCAAAAATGAGGCCTTATATTTAAAGAGCACCTGTCATTTCAGATTCATCATGGAAGCGCCTGTTAGCAGGCATCCATTCACCTGCTGTCGCCATGTCCCTCACTTTGTTGTGTTACTGCTGCATCACCAGCCATCCCATTAAAGTGAATGGGACTGCTGGCAAATCAACAGCAGATCAGAGGAGGAGCCACTATGGGACAGAGATGACAGTTGCTTTTTAAAAATTATGATTTAAATTGAGTTGATTTAAACCAAGCCTTTTTACCAGTGATTTAAATCATGATTTAAATTGTGATTTAAATCGACTTGATTTAAATCAAATCCACCCTGGTGCTAATAAGAAATTGGATTTGCTTTCAGTTTATGTTTTAGTGGCTTGCCCTGTAAGTATTGGTGGGGGTGGGTTTTGGATGTGCTATTTACAGGTAGGCAGTCTGGAAAAAGGAAGTCTATGCAGTGCAGTTCCTTGATTCGGGTATAGTTTACTTATTGATTGTTAGTCTGATGTTAATCTTGCTTTTAATCTGCTCATCTAGGTGTTGATTGCTGGTAGGGAAGTGTTTTGGTCTTTTTGTTCCCCTTTTGGCTTCTTAATTATCTCTTGCACAGTATATACATATCGTTAACGCCTATATGTCTGTTGATGGCCAGCATCAAGAATCCTTGTTGCTGTTGACTGTAATTTGATTCTTTGCCTTGACGTCTGTGGACTTCTACTGACGGGAAGTTGCACAAAGTGTGTGCAGCCACGTGGGTTCGAGCCTTGCTCTTGAATGTAAGTGTGCCCTGTGGACAGAGACTTTGGAGAACGGACTGGGAATTGCTGGATTGTGGGAATTTTGCAGGATGAATAAAGGCTGACAAGCTTTCTCCTAGTAGATGTTGCTTGTTCACCAACACTGGATGATAACAAAATGTCTCCCAAGTGATGCACACCCTGCATAGAATAGAATTGAATAGAATAGAATTGCATTGAATTCTTTATTGGCCAAGTGTGATTGGACACACAAGGAATTTGTCTTGGTGCATATGCTGTCAGTGTACATAAAAGAAAAGATACATTCATCAAGAGCCAAGAATCATAAGGTACAACACTTAATAATAGTCATAGAGTACAATAAGAGATCAAATCATTCTAGGAAACAGTCAATATAAATCAAAAGGATTCAAGCGACAAAGTTAGTCATACAGTCACAAGTGGGAGGGGATGTGTGATGTGTGATGAGAAGATTAATAGTAATAGTAATGCAGACTTTGTAAATAATGGACAGTGTTGAAGGAATTATTTGTTTAGCAGAGTGATGGTATTTGGGAAAAGACTGTCCTTGTGTCTACTTGTTCTGGTGTGCAGTGCTCTATAGCATTGTTTTGAGGGTAGGAGTTGAAACATTTTATGACCAGGATGTGAGGAGTCTGTAAATATTTTCACAGTCCTCTTTTTGACTCATGCAGTATATAGGTTCTCAATGGAAGACAGGTTCGTAGGCTTCCTTTTCCCAAACTGCCCACCTGTGCTTGGCTTCTGTGAGTTTTGTAGAAGTGTAGGCACATGGTTGAAGGAGGCTTACGAATTCTTTTGAAGGACAAGGTGCCTAACACAACATTTCTGCATCTGCCTGGATGATAAAGGGCTCATTCGGATCAGGGGGCTTGAGGATAGGCTCAGCAACAAACAGTTGTTTGAATTTTTCAAAGGCCACCTGGCAGTCCATGAACCTTTTAAGTGGTTGGTTTGGTCAGGGTTGTCATCCCTTTAGTCTTAAGTTGGTGATTGGCAGGGTGACTTGCGCGAACATCACAATAAATTCCTTGTAAAAGTTTGTAAAGCCAAGAAACTATAGCTGCTTTCTCATGTGAAGAGCTTCCTTTTCAAGCACAGCCCAAACTTTTTCTGGGTCCAAGTCTATCTCTTCGTGAGAAATGTGGTATCCTAAGTAGTCTAATTTGGTTTTGTGAAATTTACATTTTGAGAGCTTCTCATACAATTCCGCTGCGTGGAGTTTTTTTTAGGACTGCCTTAACAAGTTTTACATGCTCTTCCATGGTATAGATTAGAATGTCACCAGGTAAACCAGGATGCCTTTATATGCAAGTGTTTATGCACACTTCATTTATTAACTGCACAAACACAGCAGCTGCTCCTTGTAAGCCAAACAGGAAGACTCTGAACTGGAAGCAACCCAGCAGGCAATTGAAAGCAGCTTTCCATTCATTCATTTCCCTCCCTGATTCACACCCGATAATAATCAAGTCCAGCTTAGTGAAAGCTTAGCCATTGCCAAATGGTCTTTCATCAGTGACAAGGGGTACGCATTTTCTACACCAATGGCATTTAACCCATGGTTAATTTTAGAGAGCCGTTCTCTCTGAATAATATGGGGGCTACCATGTGGGATTTCACTGGTTAGATGAACCTCAGGTTAGATTTTTGTCAATTAAGGCTCTGAGTTCCTCTAGCTCTCCTGATGTCATCGAGTAAAGTTCAGGTTTTGGCAGTTTGGCTCCAGGCAGTATTTTGATGGCATGATCTGTGGGATGGTAGGGAATAGTATGTTGCCTCTCGCTCGCTAAAAACCTCCTATAGCCCTTAGGAATAATGTTAGCTACTTCCTCACGTTCACTGGCTGATGCGTGCCCTCTCCTTTCACTTTGTTAACAAGTGGCAGGCAGTGGCCTAGTTTCATTTTCACTCTTCTCTGGGTTTTTCTGGCAGATACTTAATTTTTTTTTCCAGTTAATAGAAGATTTCCACTTTTGTAACCAAGTGAGACCCAGCACC